GTGTATATATTTTTATTTTATTAAATAGAACATTGTCTTACGTTCCTTGGATGAGTGTTGTGCTCCATGTCGGCTTACCGCTAAGGGCGCTGTGGGTGAAATTTTAAATTTAGTCAACGTTTTTACAGAGGCAAAAGTTGTTACTCTTGTGTTACGGTACTGTTACTGTTACAGTTGTTATTGTTAGGGCCTACTTCTATTTTCTAGTGATTATGAACAAGATATTACAAATAAACGTTAACATTTAGGCCTAAGTACCAAAATATTAATACAATTAATGATAGGCGACAATAATACTCCTAATTTAAGACTTTAATAAACGTAAGTAAAATAAATAAAAATTTTGATTGTTATTAGAAAAATGAATTAACAATTCATATTAACAATTCCATCATTATTTTTATGGATATGATTAGCTATGTTATTATTAGAGTCGGTTTTTTAAACTTACATGTATAGTAATAAGACGGGGACGACTTAAGCACGACCAATCCATATCCAATTATCATCATTACAACGAATGCTAATATTACTGAGGATGATTTAGCCATTGTTTCACCATTAAGCTGGACATACAACTGTAATCAAAGGATACGTGCATTCAGTGTAGGTTTATTACTTGAAAGTTAGGCAATAAAGGTAGGTTGCGCTGCCCTTCAAGCATCTTAGTAATATCTAAAACCAAATTCTTGGCTCGACAAAGTTGAATTTTCCTAAAGTAGTGAACAGTAGGGCTTTGCTGTATTGCTTATTGTCAAATCGACAATGGATCCTTAGTAGAATGCCGAATCAGCAAAATATTGAGAAATCATCGATCACGCTAGGATGTTTTTTTTTAATAATTTAAACACAAATCCTAAACATATGTTTTAGTTTTATGTAGTGGCATGATTTAGAATTAGAACGAGAACCAGAACGCACCATGTAAATACCTCTAGGGCCTCGGCTTCCTCCAAAAGTAGAAAATACAAAAATGCAAAAAAGAAAGCACTCTTGCTTATAATTATAAAACAAGTATTGTTTTATTTACTCGGCAGGTTTGATATATCTATTCTAAGATAAAATTATTATTAATTAGATATTAATATGCCAAATTTTAAGGCACGACGTCATACATTGAGAATTATGTGGCTGCAAAATCTTCTGAAGAATGATGACAAATGTTTTTGGAAATGCATCCCCTACTTTCATTTTAATAAAATAGGTAGAGACCTTTTTGTTTTTAAATCACCGCATGTTATAGAAGCAGTGAATGTTAATATGCCGCATTTCTACAAAGAAGCTGTTGAAGCCTGGAGGGTAGTAGGAGGAGGGTTAACACATGAACCTGTGACAGCAAATGAAATCTATAAGGAGTATATCTGGGGAAACCCTCATATAAAGATGGATAATAGAGTTTTATACTCCCGTACATGTATTGATTCTGGTATTGTTAAAATTCAAGATATAATTCAAAATGGTATATTAATTAACCCCAAAGCTTTTAAAGATAAGTTAGTACATTGCTGTAACTGGATATCAGATATTGGACTGTTAAAAATGCAATCCCTAAAAAGTGGTTAATAATTCTAGAACATAACGTAATAAAACCCAAAGAAAACATAGATAATTTCCAAATTATGGAGTATGATAGCTCTAAATCTATACTTCATTGTTCAAAGTAAATAATAAATTTATATAGCAGAACATAATTCTAAAGGAATTTATTCAGCCGAAAGGAATGATGTACTGGCAAAGTGTGCTAGACGATGATCGTGTTGAATGGAAAAACATATGGAAAAAAAAATTATGAAATTTATGAGATTAAACTCAAACAACTAAATTTCAAACTATTGCATGCCATCCTTATATCAAATAAAAAACTATACCAATATAAATTAATTAGATCTCCGTTATGTACACTTTGTGGTTTAATAGATGATTATATACATATGTTTCTACATTGTAAGCGAATAAAGGGATACTGGTCTAATATCAACCGGGTGTTAAAAAACAATGGATTTATAGTAGATAGAAATATGAATACAATTGTTAAGGGAATTCACAATATAGAAGATAAATACAATACTGTAAATGAACTCATGACCTTGGCAACCTTTGTAATTTATAAAACATGGCTAATATCACGTGAAAACATCACTGAGCTATCAAAGCCTATTATACCAATCTTTTATGCTGAGCTTAAATATAGAAAAAAACTTGCAGGAAAAAATTATATTAGAAAAAGCTTGTAAATTTAAGAATTTAATAATTGATATATAATAAAATCCATTTTTTGATGTATTATGTGATTATTATTATGATTATGATTATTATTATTATTAATAATGTTATAATTATTATTACTATTATTATTATTAATAATATTATTGATTGTGATTATTATTATTAATATTATTATTATTATTTATTATTATTATTGTGATTATTATGGTGGTAATTTAATAATTTTGGTCAACAAGTAAAAAAGAATGAAAATAAGAAACAACTTGTTTTGTACACAATCATTAAGAGATGTTAATGAATACTTTATAATAATATACTGTAATAATATTTGTGATTAAATGACCTTTGGTCAACAAAAAAAAAAACATTCATTACAAATTAAAAGAGGTGTTGCTATACCATTGTAGGTGAAAGAATATTAAAACGATAATGTAATTTTAAAATGTTGAATTATGAAATTAAAAATATAGGCTGGGCCTAGCTAGACATTGTAGATCAAAGACGATTAAAACGATAATGTAATTTTAAAATGTTGAATGATGAAATTAAAAATATAGGCTGGGCCTAGCTAGACTAATAAAACGGTACAATAATAATTTTCACATTTTGGGAAGTGCAAGGGGTTTTTGGTGGCATAATTTTCAGCAAATTGCGCGCAACATTTACATTGAATGTTATTGCTTAATTGTTCATTGTACCATTGAATTGTTGTACAATCATGACTTCTTGTTAATTTTGAAATCAAAAACGTTTAATTGAAATTTAAATGCTATAATCTATTTTACATATTACAAAATTATTTGTATATCTTATTTGAATATTATGAATACAACGTCTTCCTATATACGTTTCTTCTTTTTTTATCTGCACCCAATTTAGACCTGTGAAAATCCAAAATTCAACTGGTTTTGTTTTAATCCTGAATTATTTGCCAAAATTCACCAAATCACCAAACCGAAATTGCAAATTATAGGCCTACACGTAATTTGCAACGCAAGGTCTGGTGCAATATAATCATCAACTCAATCCCGTCGTACCAGGATTTTCCAGTGTGGGGACGGGAGGAGGACGGCCGAAACTTCAATATGGAGGCGTTCAAAAGCAGAAAAATCGAATGTAATGAAATTGAGGTGAGTATACTCCTGGAGAGCTAAGTACTATTGATGAGATTCCAGATGCCCCATTAAAACTAGCTGAAATTTTGCACGATTTAATGGTTTCTAACAAAATAAATGCTTTAAAAACTAAACTTCTTTGGCTTTGTTTTATGTTAACATATTATTCTATTATTTTTTTTCCTTCTAATTAACTATTGCTTCGAGGAAAAAAAAATGGATACTTACCTTCACAGATACACAAATCGAAATTGAGTTTTGATCCGCTAAATGTTTCTCGCCTTTTAATGGCCTTTTAATAGTCAACCATTTTATCTAACATAAAGCACACTGTTTGGCTTTCTCATTGGTTCATTGTCAACCAATTAGGGCTTTGAATCATTCATCATCAATAATGGCAATATTTAAGTGTAAATGAATACCGGTAGTGTTTAATCAGGTGTTACTAATTGATCTTTAGGCACAAGATAATTTAGTACATGGTTTTTATTTTTTTGATCTTATTCTATTATATGCTCATAATAATAAATAACTTGTTTTATAAACATCTCTTTCGAGAGCCAACTGGACGTCATTAATGCACATTCGGCATTGTATTTCAGTATATGCCGTCCTGTTTATGTGTAAAATAGCGCTATTCCAATGGTGACATAGACACGATCAAAAATGTTTATTATAAAAGATTTCAATCGTTACTGGCACATACAAAATGTAATATATTATATTATTAAATATCATATTAATATTATATTATTTCAATTACCGTACTGAATATAAGATGTGGCTAATTAATCTTCTTGTTTATTTTTAAAAATTCATTTTATATATACAAGCATAAGGTAACCAAAGCATATGAATCAGATTTGTGAAAAATAAGTGAAAAAGAAATATACAGAAATAGTGATACGTTATACTATGTGATTTCATCATAACGGATATGTGAAATAGCAGCCCTTTGAAGGCATGTGCAGTTGATTTGAACACAATAGGAATAATGCCAAAAGTGATATTTGCTACCGCATCACTCCCATTTATCTGTTTTAATGTCGGTCAATATTGGATTGATTATGTATATATAAAAGTACGTACAATGAACTTGTAATCCACTCCCTTTATCAAACAAGGTCGTGACTGCCCCACTGTTTGATATCGATTCAACACCAAGTGTTGAATTTCTTAGATTTATGGTAACATGTGAAAATGCCATAAAATATACGGTAATTGTACTCTGCTTGCTCTCTCAATATATATCATAGTTTTTAAATAATTCGTCAGAATTACTATTGAATATTTTAATTGTATATAGGCCTACAATATACAAAATTATGAATTCCGTTGATCAGATGTTTATTATACAGTTCGCATCCAAATATCGAAGGGAAAAGGGGTGACAAATTATGTTTTTTCAAGTTTGTAGCTCTTGGTGATGTCGGTGACAATGTACATAAATAATAATAATAATAATAATAATAATAATAATAATAATAATAATAATAATAATTAATAATAATAATAATGTATGTGTATGTGCGTGGGTAGCTGTCTATCAATGCGATAATACCACCGAGGACTGTCTAACCCCAAATCACACAGCAGATTTGCGCTCACGCTGGAGATACAACATTAGCAAGACACCAACGTCTGTTCTTTTTTCGCCTTTTGAAATAGGATTTTTCCGAAGAAATAAAATTCAATCAATCGTTTGCTTTATGTGGTGGAGCACAGACATCTGTTCACGATGAAGAAAAATGAGGAAAACCTCCATTTTAAGTTTAGTTTTATTATGTTTAAAATAAAGAGTAAAACATAAATTAGCAACACAAATTACTTCTTACAAACATTCATGAACTACATTCAATAAAAAGGGACAATCATTACTGTAAAAATTAAAAATTAGAGATAATTGATTCAATGTAAAAATCCAATATTATTATTTTTACAATTCTCACATCTTGATCCGATTTTATGATCAGTTCGGTAGGCCTCCGAATCTTAAAATTCGAAATTGGTTTGGTGTGAATGCACCTTTAGTTAAATTGCTGTCCTATAGGCTCGAAAACTCTTAACCTTGTTGCGTTTAATTCCAAACTCCTCCGAGGCCAAGCAGAGGGCACCCAAGCCATCAATGATTGTTGCGTTGTATATGAGCAAAGCAATTCGATTCTATCATACAATTAATATATTTGAATTTTTATGAAAGCTTGTCACTGAGGATGGATCAAACGCATGTTTCGAAAAAAATTTGTGTTTTCATGCTACCTAGTCTATGGAATCATCTAATCATCTTTTACCAATTATTTATATATCTTAAAAAACACACATGGGCTGTCATGGCAACAATGTCAGCAACGGTCGACGAAAACCAATCCCAGTAGCAAAACCCGACTTAAACTAAACAGAAAAATACACAACTTTAACACATTTATTAAACAACAAAAAAATGCCTACTATGACGTACAGCTCGAAAATGACAAAAATAGTTTAAAAGGTACGTGGAAAGTTAATAATGAGGTCATGGGGCGTAAAAGTAAACAAAGTCTACCAGCCGAAGTACTTGATGGGACATCCAAACATGCAAATGATAAAGCGAAACAAATGCATTTATTTTAATTTTCTTAAATATTGCTAGCACAATCCATAATTCCTCCAAAGACTTACTAATGGGCACTAATGACTATACGTCATTTTAAAAGAGCAACCATACTTCATTCATGTTTTTCAGAGCAGTCACTGAGCAAGGAATAATTTTTCATAATATAATGAATGTTACAAACTCTACACCAGGTTTGGATGAAATTAGTGGATGAAATTAGTGCAAAATTCGTTAAGATATGTCTCCAAATCCAGCTAATTATATTGTACTGTCAAAACGATTCATTTTTAAAGATCTAAATGAATTCACTATTCTGTATTTTCAAATCAATTTCCTTTTTAATATCTTATAATCTCTCCTAATTATTTACATAGGAAAGTTTCCATAATTAGCTGAAAGAGAAGGGCGCCGTGTACGTCTGGATTTACTTAAAAACCATAGAGATATAATAAGAATACTAGAGCGCTAACCGCAATGTATTTGTTCGAAATACGCAGAACTGTGTGTGTGTACCATCCAAGATGGCTGCCATAGATTTAGTCAATCAAAGTTCGCTAAGCACCATTGCAGAGCCGTAGATAGAGAGAGTTTGGCCAACTCGGTTTCAATCACGTGACTTACACCGGCCATGTTGTCACCAAAACAAAACAACGCGATAGGGTAGGAGGTTAGCAGTTATTATTATAGATGATTAATGCTATATAATGTGAAATACTGTTATGTTGGGTTTAGGGTTGCTGCAATCGATCCAAAAAGCTATACGCGCGCACGCTGTTTGGTGACAACATGGCGCCCATGCGCCAAGTTGGCCAAACTCTCTCTATCTACGGCTCTGCACCATTGTTTGCAATTGCGCCCTCAATTTACTCAGAAAGTTCAGTACAGCTAGTTACCCGTATGTTTGAAACTTGAGCGTTGTGGTGTTTGGGTGTAATGTACACGATTTTAATTTTCATTCCTTGGTACTTTATTTTTGAATAAGATGCTCCAGTTGGCCTCGTTTTGGCTACAATAGTTTATTAATTTGTTATTACCATTACTCACTATCATTAATGAAATAATAGTCAGTCAAAGGGCTTATTAATTCGTCATAATATGTATACTAAGCCTGAAGGTGGCGCTTTACTACTACGGCCATCTTGGATGATACACATACATAACTCTGCATTGCTACGCCATCTTGTCAGCACTCTAGTTGTTTAATAGCTCTATGTTAAAAACAGAAGAACGAAGAACGCCCTGTACGTCTGGACGCAGGGTTCCCGGAACGCCGCCTTGAGCGGCATGTGCAAAGCACAACCAAGCACAACTCAGATTTTAGAAGTGGAACGTGAGATTTCGATATGGTTTTGAAGTCAGATTTGCGAGAAAAACTTCAGCTACCCGTTTTTCTCGACTGAGACGTCAGTGGGAGCTGTAATTTGTATGGCAAGGAGACGGTGCTACCCTTAATTCGTATTAAGGGAATTTACGACCACAAACCTTGTAGTTATTAATATTTTGGTGATAATAGCAAATTTTTATTTTTTGGTGACGTCACACTCACAATATAGTTAGCATCAAAGAGTATAAATAGAACAAGAGAGCCAACAACGCTCATTGAGAGCGTAAAAAAACGATACGCCCTACGCAGCTAGTTTAGGACGCCAACTAACGCTTGTATGTTTTTTATTACCCAGTACTCCACCGCGCACGGTCGGTTTGTCTGTTTATCTGTTCTCCACAAGATACTGTACTTTTGTTTTCTGCCAAAGATCTTATAAACACAAGATAGCGTTCTCCGCGATTTACGCGTAACAAATAGAAGCGTCGGTCAAGGTTCAAAAGTTTCCAATTTAGCAAGAGGCTTTTGACCCTTGACCGCTCTGACCATACCGTCACCGCGCGACTTTTTACCTTGGGTATCAATCCTAGCTGTGAACAGCAGAACAGGAACCATCTCAGATCCATGGCAACAGATAGGACGCCCTCTTAATTCCAAAACTGATTACTTTTCATAGAGATATAATAAGAATACTAGAGCGCTAACTGCAATGTATTCGATGTTCGAAATACGCAGAGCTGAGCGTGTGTACCATCCAAGATGGCTGCCATAGATTCAGCCAATCAAATTTCCCCCAATTTCCCCTGAGCACTATCATTAGATGCTTCAGTATATCATGTTTGAAACTCGAGCGTTGCGGTGTATGGGCGTAAATCTACACGATTTTAATTTTCATTTTTTGGTACTTTTTTGAACTACTATTTTTGAATAGGATGCTCCAATTGACTTCGTTTTGGCTACGATAGTTTAATAATTTGTTATTACAATTACTCATTATCATTAATAAATTAATAGTCAGTCAGAGGGCTTATTTATGGTAATAATATGTATACTAAGCCTGAAGCTGGCGCTTTACTACGACGGCCATCTTGGATGGTACACATACATAACTCTGCAGTGCTCCGCCATCTTGTCAGCACTCTAGTTGTTTAATAGCTCTATGTTACTTTTTCTCTTTGGTATAATAGCTCATGAATGGCGCCCTCTTGCTAAATTGGAAACTTTTGAACCTTGACCGACGCTTCTATTTGTTACGCGTAAATCGCGGAGAATGCTATCTTGTGTTTATAAGATCTTTGTTTTCTGCTTACTGAGTTTATAGCGGGCGTGCTTCTACCGCGCTGCGCAGCGCTGCACTGG